TTGAGAACCTATGGATACCTCTACATAACGGCCATTGAGGATCTATGTGTACCTGCATAGGATAGCCCGTGAGGACCTATGGGCACCTCCATATAACAGCCGAACCGGTGTCCGTTCAGCGAAAAATATTTCAGCAAATGGTTTTTTGGGCGAAAAAAAACAGCGAAAAACAGTACAGCGAAAATTTATTTCAGCGAAAATGTACAATGGCGAAAAGTCAAATAGCGAAAATACAAAATAGCGAAAGTACAAAATAGCGAAAAAGCTGACAGCGAATGCCAAAAATAGCGAAACATAATATCGCGAAAGCACTTTCAGCGAATTTTTTTTCCTTCAATAGCTCAAATTATCTTTAAGTAATGATGACTCATCATGCGGAGTGCGTCCAAAAGTAACGCCGTTTATCCATTTTTCTCTATTCTGACCAAATAACGTGCTATTCGACTATGTTTTTTTTTCTTGTATATCTCTCTTTCGTCCATGATTTCAATCCATACTACGCACATCATTTTATTATTTTCTTGAACTTAGTAAACATGACTGATTCAACATCGATCTCTTTCACCACTTCAAATCGAGGCAAACCTTTGCTAATTTATTCAGGATATATTTTTCGGCTTAAAAAATCAACGGTGAAAGTAAAGTATTGGACTTGTCATTCGGATGGCTGTGTAGCTAATGTTCACACAGACAAAAATGACCATTTCATTAAATCTAATGGTCAGCATCATCATATACCTGAACCTGAACAAATTGAACTTAGAAATTTAAAAAGAAAAGTCAAAGAAAGAGTAAAAACTGAAACAAGTTCTATATCTAAGATATATGAAGAAGAATTAGCTCGTTCTAATCTTTCTTCTACCGCTTTAACACTTGCATCTACTGCTGCTGAAGGAAGTAAGTTTTTGGTTAGTCGAAATCTCTAATTTTTGTCCGTATTACATAGAATCTGGTCTTAATCGTGTTCGTCGAAAAACAACACCACCTATACCAACATCAGCAGAATTTGATATTCCTGAATTTTATTCTCAAACTCTTGATGGTACACAGTTTGTATGTACGGACAAGATCATTAAAAAAAAAAGAATGATTCTTTTTGCTACTGATACACAACTTGAAACACTATTCTCATCTGAATGGATCTTCTTGGATGGTACTTTTGATTCATGCCCAGAACAATTTCAGCAAATTTATACAATTCATTGTTTAAAATTCAATCAAAGTAAATTTATAAACTTGATCAAAGTTTCTAGTTTCTCTCTTTCTTCTTTAGATTTTCCATGTGTCATTAGTCTTCTCTCGGGAAAATCTACGGATATTTATCGACAATTATTTTCTGAACTTAGTAGTCATGCTGATCGATTAAAGATGAAGTTCGATCCGAAGCATATTATGTCGGACTTCGAAATGTCCTTGATCAAGACTATTAAACAAAAAGTTCGTATAGTCCAAGTCTATCATTAGCTTTATTTTTCTTTTTTCTTAGTTTCCAACAGCTATTCACCATGGTTGTTTTTTTCATTATTGTCAGTCATTGTATAAAAATGTTAAATCACTGGGTCTTTCGACTAGTTACCTTGAAGATGAAGATACACGTTTAGCTTGTCGAAGTACTATGGCGCTCGCTTTAGTTCCACTTGAATATGTAGAAGAAGCCTACGAGCTTCTTTAAAATGATTCACCTAAAGCACTTGCTGAATTTTTTACTTATTATGAAAAGCAGTGGTTGAAACGTATATCGATAAAATACTGGAATGTGTCGAACGTCGATTTTCGTACTAACAACTTCTGTGAATGTAACATTTTTTCCTTTTTATCAAAATATTTTTTTTTTGTTTATTATTTAGCGTGGCACAACCGGTTCAATAATCGAGTTGAAAAGCATCATCCTAACATGTGGCATTTTCTTGAATGTTTAAAACGGGAAGAATTATTATTTCGTCAACAATTAGGAAAATTAAATGCTGGTATTCCAAAAAAAACAAGTAGTAATGTCTGTATTAGTCAAAAGCAAATTGATACACTAACTGAACGATACGAACAAGAACAAATTACTTTAATTGACTTTCTCTATGGACTATCTACACTTGTTGCTAAACGTTCTACAAAATCACTTTGAACTGCTCATAATTGTAGTTTATTTTTTTATCTGGTCTTATTGATATTACTTGATGTCTATCTGATGTTTCTTTATTTCTTGATTCTTATTGATTTTTATCGTCTATTTACTTAGAAATAAATTTTTTCGCTATCAAAAATTTCGCTGTTTTGGTTTTCGCTATTCGCTCAAATGTACTTTCGCTATGAGAATTTTTTCGCGGAAAAAAATTCGCTTATTGTAGTTTTTGCTCATTTATTCTTTCGCTTATTTTCCATTTCGCTAAAATATCTTTTGCGGTTTAGTCATTTCGCTCAAAATTATTTCGCTGAATTTTTTTTCGCTTTTTTCTATTCGCTCAAAATTTTCGCTGAAAAGTGTTTCGCTGATTAGCACCCTTCCCTAACAGCCCATGAGGGCCTGTGGGTATCTCCATATAATAGCCCATGA